ATATATATATATATATTTTCAATAGGTTGTGGTCATGTTGGTGTTTTTACATTCTTATTTACACAAACCTTTTTTATGCTGCCACCTGACTTCTTCACCATTAATTCGTCCACCATAGACTGAAGGCAGATACTCATCATGATGGCCTGAAATCACAAATCACATACTGAAAGTCAAAAAAAATCTGCAGTACTCAACAGCTTTCTTAGACGTTTTAGAAAATACATCCTGGAGTCGTTTGAAGCAGAAGAATTGCAGGAACAAAATGCTCTGACCGTAATAGTCTTGTCGCCCCCAAGTCAGCAACTTCTTACCTGTTGACTGGTGATGGTGACCCACTGGAGGCGGTCCTTGCTCATCAGATACTCGAAGGCGAGCTCCAGTTTGACCTCGCATTTGGAGGAGCTGCAGGGATTGGTGGTGCCGTTGGCTATGGGGACTTGCTGCAGAGTCAGGCAGAAAGATGGAGAATAGATTTTAAACTGTTGTTACTGTTATCATCAACCACTCTTAATTTATGTTTATACTAGTGTGATTCTACTTCATGACCGGAGGCTCGTGTAAGCAGATAAATCACATTTTCTATCCTGCATCGCCAGTGACAGGCAGTCAAATCTTAAGAAAGACACGCTAAAAGATTAACACGGGTGCAGAGAAAGAAATATGTACAAATACGGAATTTCAAATGCCTTCAAGAATATGTGAAGCTCAGACCCAGCTCCCTGGAGACGAGCCCTCATTCCTCTTTAATGCAGCCTGTGCTTTTCACTGAGACTATTTCCTCTGGGCCACAAACTAGCTGTACCTCGCATGCTAACCCCCCCCCCACACACACACACAAAGAAATACAGGGAGAAATACAGACAAATACAAAAGGTCTGACACATACACATGCACGCCGATTGTTTATACACGTTCTTCCGGATGCAATTTGAGATTGGTCTACGAGGGGGGGGCTGCAGTGATGAAGCAAATTAGATGTTTTGAGTAGTTTGCTGGGAAGGAAAGGGCTCATTAAAATGACTTTGACCTCTGAGAGTGAGCTCAGGAATTAACCACCCTGCTGGACAGTGTGGGGGCTCAGTCTGTAACCAGACGAGCCAAGATGCATTTTAATTTTAGACGTGTTGCCATCCATTCAGAGCTCTGTGCAAATGAACTTAAGGAGAATCATAAAAGCTTCTGTGATACACATAACGACGGCGCTGCTCGAACACTAATGCAACACAAAAGCGAACTGTTTTCTCCATCTGCATTTAAATGAGGTCTTGCATCGAGCCTTCATGCTAGCTGAAATGATGTGGGTAGAGCTGCGAGTAGTGCTTTTCTCAGCTATTCACAGAAGTGAAAATAGACTGTTGAGCTGTCTCTTTTCAAGATGACTGATTGGGTGGAAGCAGAAGAAAATGCACATTCAACGCAGTGTGGTGCATGATGGTGTAATTTATGTAGATTCTTGGTGACATTATGGAGATTTTTTTATTCTTTAGGACAGAGAATTTCTCACCAGGTACAGGTTAAATTCAGCATAGTCTGCCCCAGTGATTTAGTATTACACTTATATACATTTGGTGGGCTTATTAGAGACTTATTAAAAAGGGACCTGGTCAAAATCTGTGCAGCAGAAACTGAGAAATCCTGACTTTTAGTCTCAAGCTCCAAAACCACTGGGTACTAAATTTCCCATAATGCAACTGGACCTGAATCTTCAATGGATGCTCCTTGCCTCCTAAATGGACACTTCTGTCAAACCTCACCACTGACTTTATGTTAAAAACAACACTGAAGACATGATCAGGGTTAATTTTATTTTATTTCAGACTGTAGGGAGCTCCTCCAGAACCACAGAGGATATTATAAAGCAGTTCTCTCCCCATAAGGAGTAAACTGATGTTTAAGTCTAATATTGGTGGAATGTCCCTTTAAAAGTCATCTATTTCATGGTTGTTATTCTGCATTCTGTAGGTTTTTTCCAGTCATTTTACATCTCATCATTTTGGCAGGAGCACTGCTTTTTTGGTAATTTGTTTTTTTTTTGTTTACACACAAATGTCCAGCTGACTGTGACTGATTAAGTCTGCCTCAAACATTTTCTGGTAAATAACAAAAAAAGGAATATTTTCTATTCGTTTTTCTCCAGTGGCAGTGCAGCACACTGCAATGATTAATTACAGGTGAATCGAATCAGGCCCGATCAATCAATCACTGTCATCTCTTGAGCTGAGTACGACAGACTCTGACAGCATCTCATGTTTACTGATCAATTCAGTTACTAGGTGACTGTCTAAACTGTAGCCTCATGCGTTAAACATATGGCCTTTGTTGAGTGAAGCAGCACTATTTCTTTCCTTTCCCTGAAAGTCTCTGAGGTTTTATTTTTAGTGTAAAAAGTCTATTCATTTCTTAACACATTACTGGAGCTGTTACACTGTACGGATGTATACAGAGTAAGCTTTGTAGGTGGTTCCTCGTATTGCATGCCATCAGTCAATTATCAGTTCAAAGAAAGGATGCTGCTCTATGTGTGAAGCTGGTGGATCAATACAGCACTATCCATGTGTGGGCTGCGTGTTTGGGTAATTGGACTGATGAAGATGGATAGTGTGGAGGTCAGCGCTTTTAGCGAGCAGTAGGAGTAAAAAACTAATGCTTGGCAAGACTAAAGACATTTTCTGGTGCAGTGGTGAGAGGAGGTTTGTAAACAGGAGACTTTGGACGCACAGGAAGCCCTTGTTGGTTTGAGAAGGACTCTAGCCAAAGCTACTGCATCTCTAACTCTGCCAGCTCACAGTCTCCTAATAATAGGGAGAGATTCCAATGTGATTATTTCAGAGCTTTGGAGATACAGGCATGCTTGAAGGTGAATTCACTCATCCTCGCTCTCTTGCATATACACACACACACACCCACGAGCGCACGCACGCACGCACACAACTCCACTTACAGAAGACGTGACTCGCCAACACCTCATGCGAGTGACCTTGAAGCTTCCCTCCTTCATCTGTTCGTTGGGCAGCTTGACGTGGAAGTTGAGCTCATTGTTGCCTGCACTTACGATGACTTGGCAGCCCTTCTCGGGGAAGTCAGTGATACAAGGGTCAAACTTGATATAACCATAATATTTGAGAGTCTGACCTAGATGGATGAACTGGGGAGAAAGAAAAAGAAAAAAGCATAAAATCAGTTTTTATGCTTTTTATTTTTTAACTTTTCTATAAAAACGTGTCTTTGTCTAATCCCTGGAGAAAATACAATTAAATTCTCTACTGAAATGGTGCGATTAAAAATTCATACCATGGGAAAAACTAGGCTAATTGCATCACAGAATGCACTAGAGGCAGTATTCTCCACGGTCCACAGATTTATCCTTGGACAGACATCCGCAGAGTATCAACTGTATTCATGTGAGACGCTATAAAAAGGTAGAATCATCTAGAAGAGATGCCCTTTCTTACTTCTTTCTTGGAGCCCTTCTCCTGCAGCGATTTGAGCTGCCGGTGCTGGTCTTTGTTGACGAGTATCCAGTTTCGCTCAATGTCAGACACTGTCTGGTGAAGCAAAAACAAAAACTGAAGTTCATCTCTCTGCGCAGACGAACAAAACAAGGCAGGTTTTCGTGCGTTCCTTTAATACGTGTGGGAGAAATCACACCCTGAGCCTTTCACGTGAACAGTTCAGGTCAGCAAATTACACAGAAACATGCCCAAATGCACATGCTTGCAAACACTGTTTATTGTTATTAATTTTTTTTTAAACCTCCTCTCTGCTACAAAGAGGCAACTCTCAGCAGTTCCAGATTTTAATCAAACTTGCAGCCCAAAAAATGCTTAATACAACAGATTGCAGTTGTCGCAAAGGGAATCCGCTACTAATAGGATCACAGAGGAACACAAAAAGGTACAGGAGTCAAGGGGTTGCAAAGTCAAAACAAGCTGACATTGCTATCAGATAATGGAGGGGCCTGGGGGGATGGACAAATGCATTTTGGAAGGCCAGGAATGAAAGCGTGCTTGATTTAGGTTTCTTGATGTGATGCTGGCACCAGGCGAGCTTAATAAAACTGAACAGATGAAAGAAGTAAACAAACAATCTCATCTAATTTGGATTTTCTGCTTGGTTCCACATCTCAAGGGGAATTTAACTTAAAAGACTACGGTTACAGCGGAAAATAAATGACAGCTTCTGGTTCGCCCAAGTAATGAAACCTCTTACCTGGGCGTAAAGCAAATTCAGGCCAACTCTGTTGTCCATGACATCCCCATCATACGCCATGTCCCAGTAGCTGCAGGAAGAAAAGAGTCAGCCTTTACAAATCTACATCCAGGCATAAATAAGAATGAACAAAGTGGCAGTTACAATTACCAATTTGCCAGGATGACTCTATAAAAACACAATCATATTTGGCTATTTGCCACTAAGTATGTGATCTCCCATGACTCTGTCTGCATACTGAGCAACGATACATTGCGTTGCTGTCCTGTCAAAATAATGGATCTTAAAAACTATTAACTGTGACAATCCAAGTTTCAGATAATTGTTTTTAAATGGTTCATTTAGTCTAAGACGAATTCCCTCAGTTCATAAAGGAACACTTAATCCTTCAGCTTTTTAAATTAGTCTAGCTTATGTACGGTCAACTTACATGCCAATGTCCATGAGATAGTGAGTGTAAACACTCATCTCAATCATTATTTCCTGTTAAAGGTTGAAGGACAGTTGTGTGAGTGAGACAGGCAGCACTGTAGTTGCATTAGACGCTGCTGGTGCTTTAGTGCAAAGACATGTGTGTGTGTGTGACAGAGAGCAGCATTAACAAAATGCATGAATTCAGTTTAGAGAGAACGATCAGATCTGGGATTACAAAAATGGCCCACTTGTGATTACAAAAAAAAAAAGGAAAGACAGACAGAAAATATGCAGGCTTTAACTCAGTCTGACTTGAGAAACAAAAATATTTGGGCCATATTTATCACTGTGATACTTCACTCCCATGTGTTTTTATATCTTTTCCCCTGGATGTGCAGCGTCTATTTAACTGACACTGCTTTCATACGCGTCTTTAGGATTAATACTTTCTTTGTCCACAAAAATCTCATTGCAGTCATTTATGCCTTGAAAAACACTTTACCGCAGACGAAATATTTTACATGTTGTAAATGCATGACACAAGGGGTGTTAGTGGATGGAGAAAGTTGTTCAGGCAGATGTGAAGCAAGCTGCCTGGCCACATTAGCAATTCAAAGCAGGTAACAAGGGAGAAGAAGATTAAGGAGGAGGGAAGGAAGGGGGTAAGAGAATACGAGTCGTGGAATCAAGATGTGTATGTGTGCATGAAATGAGTGCTTTTCATTTTGTTGCTTTAGTCCCATTTAAACGTGCACTGGAAGCTGAGGCATGCGGCCTTTGGTTTGAATTCTCTTAATAAATATACAGATTAAAAATCTCAACACTTCTGCATTATAAATACACAAGCGCAGATTGCTGCTGACCTACAAAAACCTCCAACACTATTCATATGCCTGTTTTAATATCATGAATGCTTTGGAAAGACAAAAAAAAGTTGACATAATGTAATTTAAATGTTTTCATTGGACAGACAAAACATTTCTTCCATTTTTAGCATGAACTTTTATCCAAAAAGAGATTTTCGATTCATTCCGACCTGATCCTTCTCCTGGATCTCATACAGTGGGGGTCTGTTTTTCCTCCACCTTCACTTGTTGGTTCTACATTCATTCTTCCTTTGCTGCGCTACACTCCCCAGAGAAACTAGGTCAAGAGGACTAAGACTTTCCTTGAGGCGGAAAGAAAGTAAACATCCTGTGTACCTCAGTCAGCGGGAGGCAGGGTGACGAAAGAACAGACACACGAGGAAGTAGAAAAATGTTATGTTGAAGTGGGGCGTAGTCGCTAACTTTAGGCTTTATGGGGAACCCACAACATCAGTATTTGTCAAGCATAGAGTTTGTTTGGGTGGCCCACCCATGAAGATTTTTTTTTTCATACTTTTTCTGTGACATGCGGCCCTTGATGACAGATGCCCATTTCCCTGCACAAGCAGCTCTGAACCATGTTCCCTCTCATAACAGGCAAAGCTACAGGTTTTTTTAAAAATGGTAACGGTTTTCAAAACAAATACATGAACAAGAACCAGAGAACTTTTAAGTTTAAAGAAGGGATTTTGTTTCATGGGAATACTTGGTTTGTAAAAACAAGTGCTGCCAGTCCTAACCCCCCTCAAAGGACCAGTGTGTAGGATTTAGTGGCATCTTGCGCTGTAGTTCACCCTCCCTTTCCAAGCGCAAGGAGAAACTACGATGGCAGTGAAACGCACGAAAAAATGTGAACGGCCCAATCTAGAGCCAGTGTTCGGTTTGTCCGTTCTGGGCTATTGTAGAAACATCTATAGCAGTTCAAAATGGCAGCCACCAAGGAAGGTAACCCAAAGAGTCTATAAATAAAAACAGCACATTCTAAGGTAACAAACAATTCTTATTTTTTGGTGATTATACACTAATGAAAACATACCTATTATATTATATTTCTGCCAATAGATCCTCCTAAATCTTACACACTGGACCTTTCAAATAAATTCTCGACCTGTGGGGAAACTTTAAACATAATGAGAGTAAATGACTGGTTCAGTTCTCAGTGATGCATAATTCTGGTCTTAGATGAAGATGCTATAACTTACAAAGAGCAGTGGAATGGCAGGCATGAAATAGGGCTGAACGATACAACCTCAAATCTATAGCAAAAGAAGTTATCATATTTCCTTCTTCTGACTTCATTCTGGTTCATGTTTGTCCTGTTTGACCAATTAAAGATACTGGGCTGTTCGCTTAGGGATTTTTCTAGTAGGTTCTTTTTCTGGCACGCCCCCCCTTCAGAAGCAAAAAACAAAGTCATGCTCCACCACCCTACATTTTTTTAAATCAATCATTAACAATGATTGGGCAAGCAACTAATAAAAAAAAAAGGATCCAAGTTGAATATTAGTGTAATAAAGGTCAGCACAATATCATTGGCAAATGTCAGTCTCAATGTGGGGCCCGCTCCACAGTTTGAGAACCACTGTTGTAGGCTTATAAACAGTAACTGAAAACTGCAATACGAGTAATTTTAAGTGGCGAGGAGATTAATAATATAATTTAATGTATTTCTATCTATTGTCCATTCATGTCTCTGTCTAATCCCTGACCTTTCTGGCGTCTCAGTCAAAAGCACCACCCGTCTGGTCATGATAACGATTGTGCTTGGCAAAATAAAACAAATGACTGAGGGCTCTTTTTCAAATTAACTGCCACTTTGTAGAAGATGGTGAAGTCGGATAAGCAGCCCATGGTTAAGCTAACCGCTGCTCTGACACATTAAGAACAAGTGCTTCACTGCAGATAACGAATGAAAGGAGCAACACCCAGAAGGGAAAAAAAAAAGGAAAACTGAGTGCCTTACAACTTCTTTATAGGATTAGATAAAAAACACACGAATACTCTGGACAATCAATCACAGCTGTAATTTCATGTGGGGGTGAGCGCTTTGGGAAGGACGTGATGAAATTCAAAGTCATGATGTGAGCAGGTGGTGGGTACCTTTTCCGTAGGAGTATGTGAAATTCAGAGCTCCGCAAGCTGGTAATGGATACATAAGGCAGCTCAAACTCCTGCAGCTTCCGCACAACTGAGAGAGAGAAACAGAAAAACAGAGAGAGAGTCAGGAACAAGCGCAGCCCCAATGTCCCAAGGACATTTGGTAATGATTGTAACAACAACATCGAGGGATGGGAGAGCTCCATCTGGACAGGTCCCAGAAGGATAAAACTTTTTGTGTGTGCGAGTATTCAAATATGAAAAAAAAGATAATGGGCTCTCCGAGTGTTTGTGAGTGTGTGAGTGTGTGTGTGTGTGTCTCTGTCCCTAATCTGCGGCCGTTCCCCAAGGAGAGTGAAGTGAATCTCAGGTGCTTGCTGATGCTGCCGTTGCTGGGCTTCCAGGCACCAATAAACATGCACAACACTATGAATCAGATGACTGAACAGCGCTTTAGTTTGCTATTAGGTTTGTTTAAATGTGTTTACTGCTTTATGGGCAGAGATGCTGTGTGCAGGAAGCAGAAACACATGCTGGTTACTTTGATGTTGCAAATCTCACCAGGAATAAAAAATAAAAAACAGATACAAACTGAATGCTTAAAATGTTTTGGAAAATCTTTTTGGAACAGGTGAGTGACTAAATCAATCAATCAATAAATAAATAAGAAGACCAGCACTGCTATTTCAAACCACATACTGTTTCGTCTTGACATGTCTTTACATATTTTGCAGTATTGATTTAAACAGACTTCAGGGAAACGTACTGCCTGTGAGAGAGGAACTGAATTCTTCTTGCTATGCTGTTATGTCAATACTCCCACCAGTTGTGTTTGATCCGGGGCCTGCTGCACCAGATTTATTCTAGTAGTCGAGTCATATTTAACTCATGGCCCGTCTTTCAAACCACTCAGATTTTCAGATTTTAACTGTGCCAAGAATATACAACATGCCTGTAATATTTACAGATTCCTCCAAGTTCACCTGGCACCATTTTCAGCCTGGAATGGATTTGGCGTGAGGAGTAGGGGAGCATTTGGCAGATGGAAGACGAGAGAAGAGAACCTTTGGGACTGAGCGGGGATTTGACCCGACAGGGCTGTGATGAAATGGAAAGAAAGGGATTGGAAAACTGAAACGTCTTGGTGCGGAAAGCTTTATGCCTGTGTCACTGTGGTATTCCTTGTGACAACAGATGTAGATGTAAATATTGTACTATGATTTGCACTCACACCATTACTTATAACAAATATATCAGCCACCTCTGAGAACTGGAGTGCTGCTACCGCCACTACACTAGGAAAAGGAAACAGAGCTTGAAAGGCAGCAAATAATCTGTGCCTAAATTTCCAGGGCACTGGTCAGAAAAACTGCAAAGCTGCTTAGTAAGTCAGGAACGTGAGGAACAACAAAATTATGGTAAAATATGTCAAACTGAGCTGCAATGCTCCAAACACCTCTGCTTCAGACCAAAAAGGTATACAGTATGATGGGCATTTACATACATGTGTTAAAATATGCAACCAATTAGGACTCACTTTTTAGACCACATTAATATGGTCTAAATTAGCGGTTAGATTCACTGTACAGTTATTTTCAACACTCATGGAATTGCAATTCCAATGTCAGATCAATATAGAGCCATACAGAGATAGATATAATGATGTGTGACGATGCAGTTTCCCAGTGGGATTAATTCATTTAATCTTCCTCCTGTATGTACTTCACTTATTAATGGCAAAGGACTGTGGTGTGGGAAATAAAATAATTAATAAAATTTAATAAAATGTGCCCAATTTACATGCAGAAGATGGGGGAAACAAAATTAAAATCACCAAATTATAAAAAAAATATAAAGAATTTGGGTAGCCTAAACAAATACAGTTGCCCCAACCCAAAATTATGTATTTTTGTGTACATCTTCCAATTTGAATAGTCTGATGAAATGGTAGACTCCTCTTGCTGTTTTGCTGAAAAAAAATCACTTTTGTTGGCGTGTGAATGCCATTTTTGTAGCCGACACTAGTGTGATTTTAGAGCCACAACAAATACATTCTCAAACTGAAAACAGCGCACGCAGCCAAGTACGTGAGCTCACGCCACTCTAAACACTGCACAACTGCACTAATCAGCCAACAAACACACAGATGCCCGACTCTCACTGAGCTTCTGAGCACCTAATAAATGAATTACGCATTCCAGCCAGGGATACTGTAGGAACTCAGATACAAGACACAACTCTCATGGGGTGACGTGGCTCCTCTTTTTTAATTAAACTACGGTATATCTCCAAACAGCGAGACAGATTAACTGAGCTGCTGAACTGTTGCCAGAGCCAACTCTTTATGCTTCATTGTAGGGAATACAGAAATATTTTTATAGAAAACTAAAAAAGTATGATATTACAGTACATAATTCCCTTTGGTTACCCACAGAGGTATTTTTCAGTGCAACATAACAAAGTTGTCTGGAATAATTTGTCTTTCAAGTTCTGTGTGATTTGTGTGTCTTCTGAGAAAGGCTCAAGGCTGAAAGTAGTTTAAATTTACATTATTTCATCAGTGTGTTGCTCTATTAGTTTGCCTTGATAAACAAGACTAAGCTAAATTATTTAAAGGTTTCCAGCCGCAGTGTTTGTTTCCAGAGTGAATCTAAATAATCAGAAGTAATGAATTATGTATTTCTCTCCCATTTGTATAAACCAATAATAATTATATAAATGGGACATTATATCAAATACTTTTATTAGTAATGACTGTTATAATATGAGATGATTTCCTTCCTTGTATTCATCTGATACTTTAGGAAATTAGTGTTGAAACTTACATGTTAAACCTCCATCCACGCCCTCACGGATGAGGAAGAGACTGAAGTAACCAACGAGGTCATCAGGAAGGTCAAGCTTTGTTGCAACAGCCTGCGCAAAGATGGGAAAATGAAATTAAATTTACAGATCCTTTCATCTGAGTTTCTATTTTTTCAGTAAATCAAGATTAATGAAGATAAAACAGTTTTATAACAGATAGGATTAAACAAAACAGCTCAGAATGAAGAGATGAAAATGGGAACTGAAATAGTAGACAGTAGATTAAAAACTGGGATATAGCCACAATCATACTTTATTATACAACAATCTCTAAAGTGATAGAATAATCATTAGGTTCAAAAAGATGAATGTGCTTTGTTTTTGTTGTTTTTATTATTTATGATTTAATTTATCGAGAGCGTTTGGTGTGCCAAATATCAGAAACTATATGCAAGCAGGTACCCAATGGCTTGTGTGCTAAAATAATTGTTTGATGATATATGTGCTGTACTACCATGTCTTGTTTAGTCTGCTTTTTAACTCCTGTAATTCAACTGCTTACTTACACTCCAACAAAGGCTACAAATCTGAGTGCAACTGTTGCCAAGCGAACACACATGCAAGCAGCGGGAAACTCAGTTGTGTGAGACTCGCTATGGTGAACAGAGGTTAACTGTGGTTAAAAATTTCATAACAGCACTTAAACAGCACTCAACACAAGCTCTCAATTACAAGCTTGAATTACAGCCAAGGACATCATGATGAAACCTCAGCATGTTTACTGTGTTGAGTTATTTTAGAGTGGGGTTATGGTCAATCGAGAGCAGAGGACATGTGGATGTACTAAAACAATGGTCTTCAACCTTTATTGGACCCACTATCTATTATCCAGGTTTTTTACTGCCCCTTATCAAATAAAATGTAGGCTAATTGTCCTCCCTGAATATTAATGTTGATTGTTATTACTCTAAGAATGAATGTCATTGAATGCCAAACAACAGATTTGATTTAAATGGATATATCACTATTTGTTTTCCAGGGAGCAAAAAAGCAATGTAAATAGGAATGATATTTAAGAGTGTTAAACAAATGCAACTGTGTTGTCTTGTGTTAATGTGTTATGTTGCTTTCACGGGAAGTCTGACGGTGGACTATCTCTCTTGTAAATTTGTAACAATGGCAGTAACACTTTACGATGTATCCTCGAGAGAAATGAATGCCTTCAACAAGAACAAACTCCTCCAAGGGAAATGCAGAGGAAGAGAAAGCTTTTTCCTGAGCTGACACAGTAAACACCATGTTAGTGAAATTTTATAGATGATACTCTGACGTCCAGTTCCTGTGAAGGCAGCATGGAGCTGCACTACAGAAAGCTGACAGAAACAAGTAAAGAGTCTATGGAAGTCATGTCGTCGCATTGGTGTAGTTGAAGTAGCAGTTGAAAGTTTCAACTTATCTTGTTTTAAATCTTTGGTCTAAACATCCCTTAAAACAAATGTCCCTCCAAGAACCCCTTTCCAAAATACTTCCAAGTGTGTAAGAGAAACTAGCACACAACTCCCGAAAAATGCGAAAGGTCCTATCTAGAGCCAGTGTTTGGTTTGTCCGTTCTGGGCTACTGTAGAAACATGGCGGTTCAACATGGTGGACCTGCTCATGGATATAGAAACGTAGATACCGCATTTTCACCTCTCCACTGATGCTGATGCCGCTCACCACAAAAAAAGGGGAACAGGGAACATAACTGAAAAACACATCCACAAAAACAAAATCGGACTGCGTTGATCCCTGCTTAAAAAAAACATTGTGTAAAAGAAGGGAGAAATCAAGGCTCTAAACAAAAAAAAACGGTCAAAAGTCACCACTTGGAAAAGTGCTGCAGGCATGTGCAGCGTTTGGATGTACAACCAGCCAAACTTTTCTTGACAGGCACTGATAACAAAAAACAACCAGCCTATTCAGACCAGCACTTTAAAAAATACAGAATGAAATCAATGAATACATGAATACTAATGTGTGTGAGGTGGTGCAAGTATCAACACATGGTGGGCTACAAATTACTGTCTAACCAGGAAAAACTGTGTGGGGAAAATAATTAACTTATGTTGAATAATGTTTTCCTGTAGTCAAACTCACATTTTACAACGAGCAACCAGATAGCGTTATAACAATATAACATGTATAGAAATCTACATTTTAAGAGAAACAGACAAAAGCTAAAATTCTATTTAGCCTAATTATAGATCACAGCTTGGACCTTTAACTTGTCCAAGTCTCATTCCATTTTAATTGTACTGTGCCATTTAATGCTTCTTGCTTTTGTTTTGTGATCTTTGATAAGATCGAAGTAGCCCTAACTTCATAAACTCCTTTGATCCTTGCTTTTGTGAAGAGGGTCTACATAAATAAATGTGACTTCATTTGATTTACGACGGTGAAAGTAGTGTCTGTAAAACATCAGAGCTTGCAGAAGAGTCTACATCGATACTGTTTGCCTGAGGGAAAACCAAGGTGTCTGTAAGCACTGTTATGAATGGCTTGAGATGCTTTTAGTCCAACATACACAAACACTGCGAAGGTTGATAACAAACCATAAAAGGCCTCAAATGATAGCAGGGATTCTGGCCACTTGCAGTTAAAATCAGATCTAAATCATGTCATTTCCTGCTATAAATATAATCCTATTACCTTTATACACTAAAAGGGATTATTTATTATATCTACCATCAATCACTGAATTGAAACATTCAGCCAAGCTACACTTTTGTGCGGTCTTGTTTTCCTAACAAATGTTTAGTTTGTATAGCTTTTTATTAGTAAATTCAATTACAAATCTTTACAAGTTGTATACTAGGTGGAGTGCTGGCTAAACAACTGTATGTTTATGTACTCCGGCACTTACATCAAGCACATCCTCCGTCTGATCCGAGGTCAGAATGTTGACTGTAACCTTCTGACCGTTGGAGAGGCAGATGTCTAAAGCGACTTCTTCTGTGGGAATCTGCTGCGTCTCCTGTGGGAAAGACACAAAACATAACAGCTTCATGGCTTCATAACAGCTTTCCTTCAGCTTCATGGGTAATCTACGTGTTTTCATTCCTGTCGGTCAAAAACAAAATCATACCGAGTCACGTGGGCAGAAAAAACATGGGTTGGTCAGAGAGGAGAACAAAACAGCGCTTTATAATTCCATCATGTAAAAGAAAATAACATTGAATGGAACAGTCAAAAATCCAAAGATATTCAGCATACAATCACAGAAGAATAAGGAAACCAAGGAAAAGAAGTCAAAGAGATAACTTGATTATCAATATTATTGCAGATTAATTTTCTGTCACTTAACTAATTCAATTGAATAATTGTTGCAGCTCTATTAGTCCCATCTATTTATTTCCCTCCTCAGCTCACAGAGACATAAAGGGAACTGTATGCATTAGTACTGCTGTGTTTGTCCTTCTGTTCATTCCTTAACTGAACAAGGCAGACGATGGAAGAAAAAAAAAAAAAACACAAAATCAATGAATAGCAAGTAAGGGAAATAAACTGAACTGCCAAAACCTATGAATATTTCAAAGGTCTAAATAATAACTTCTGAGCTCATATTAAGAAGTATGAAATCTTAAGCTAGATAACCCCAGCCTCTCCTGTCCCCAGGCAGCCTCTCACCACTTCTGCTATATCGTCTCTCATCTTCCCTGTTCCCTTAGCGGGGATTCTCCAAGCACATCGCTACCACTAAAGGCGCAGATGAAATGACAATGCTGGCGGTAACTCATCCCCTATTCTGCACCTGCTGTCCTCGCAGTACATAAAGGCGCCGAGGGTGGAGGGTGTGGGGGTTGACAGACTCTAATGAGAGAGGAAGACAGAGGAGGAGAAGCAGAATGGGTGTGACGTGGCTGCAGACGGATGAATGTGTCCATGAAGGTTATTGGATTTACAGCCCTCCTGGCAATGCAGGTCACAGCTTGACTGATGACGAATCAACCTCGCTACCTGGTCTGAATAACTCATTGACACGCCATCCGTTTGAACTAGCCTTTTACTGTCAGGCAGCAACAACACACTGTGAGTTTGTGCTGTTACGGCATGGTCCACTTCAGCTAATATTTGCTTGCATTCTTTAGTAATGCAGAGGGATCTTTTTGGCAAAATCTGGTGGGATGAATCATTAGGCCCTCTTTTCTTTTGCATGGTATAATGGTTCAGAAGGATCCAGCTCCCACACACGATGCAACTATGCTTTCCCCTCAGTTTGATGTAATCATTTCACGCTTTTCTGCACTCAAGCCAAATCCTTATCTGACACATCTAACCAACTACTCTACAAGCAGAGATAACACAGCCCATGATAAGAGCACAAGTTGCCGCATACTGCGACAAAAGGTGAGAATATGGTTACCTCACTCAACCACATTGCCACAAGTAATTACTAGCTGGGCAGAAATGACTGGATCAGCCTTTTAGTTCACGGAGCACGCCCTGTTGACCATGTTGACGCAACAGAAAGCAGCCTGCCTGCATTAGGCGGTTTTCTCTACATTAAAAATAAAAACACTACCAACCTGTTGTGCTTTCCTTAAGAAGCTGTTGAACATCTCGCTGGCTCCAAGCAAGGGGTCTTGACGCACTATAAAACAAATAAACAGGAAATAAATTAAGAGCAAAACCAAAACAGCAATACAAGAACAAAATGAGTCACATCTCACTGTTCGCTGAAATAGAAGGATCAGCGGAAGACGAGAAGAGATATGTTTCAGTTTTAAATTACAACTCAGCAATTAGTTAAGGGTTTTTCACTGGATGTTATGTAAACATAAACCCCCTCCGGCGCAGCCATTTCCCAATTCTTCCTAATTTTCCACTTATCACACAGTTTCATGTTGTTCCTGTGAATTGGGTTTAACCTTTCAAAATATCTGTCCAGGCAATTTAACCTAACTTGCAAAAAAAAAGCACTTTATAAAGGGAGACTTGTTTTTGGCATAGGTTCAATTAACTGTAGATTGTTACAAACCAGTTTTGTTATGTTGCAGGCCTCAGATTTGAGACATAACACACGATTAACAACTCCATTTGCTCATGTCTTTGGTTGTCAATTGAGGCAGTTGTCAGTTGCAGAGTAATGCATTTAATTATCTGCATGATAACCATGTATGACCACAATATGACTTGTGTGTGTCAGCCTGTACATCACTGTGCTTTTACAAATTAGTCTAACCCTTTGACAAAATGTCAAAGTTGTGAGCCATCTGCGTCAGAACAGATTGTGTTTGTGGCAGTTCATTTTCCATAACTATGTAAAAAGCCATGATGTAACCAAGTGAACTTGAAGCCAAGAACACCCTGTGTGCGTATGCTCCCAGACTATGAGCACATACACACTCGAACAACGCTTCCTTGTTCTGCTGTAACTGCCAGTGCTTGAGAGGATTAAAACAAACCCTCTGCATTGCTGCCAGTTCCACTTATCCATGTGTGTGTGCAGAAAGTTCACCCTCGACCTGTTTACAAAATTTGGGTGACATGCTGAAAACCTCCCAAATTGGGATATGGAACTCCAGTTGGGTTCTTGACCATTATTTAAGACATTATTTAAGCTATCAAACCTGCCATGAGGAATGTTCACTGAAGAAATAACTTATGTGCCTTTCCTGGTGTAAAATATATGAATAATTCTTTATAGCATTCAGTTTTTAAATTCAGAGAAAAGCCAAGTGTGTTTCCCAAGAGGTGACACATCATCACTAAGAGGATCCAAACCCATTAAACGTTTTAAAACCCTGAAATCCTGACTAGGGGTTAATTTTTTTTTCAGGTGTGTCAGCATAAGTCTAGTGAGGCTTTGGCTCAATGTGCCAGCTCACTATGTGCTCAGATCATCAGTTCTTTAGTGAAACACATTTATGCTTTTATGTGGCATGAAGAGACCAGTGTGTGTCTGGACTCCCCGCAGACAACAAGGCACTTCATTCTTGTGATTGTTGCGGAGAAGCAAACATTTCAATGGAATTTGTGTTGCAAAGTCTAAGTTTGTTCTGTTTCCCCCCCCCC